CCACCCCGACTCGCTACTCGCGGGGACGCACTCCCCATCCCCTCCCTCTTCGCCCGACTCCGGGGCGGGCCCACGCGTATCCCAGGCGCCAGGAAAACAAACTGGCTTTCCCGGCTCGGGGGTAGGGGTGTAGGGGAGTAGGGGGCGCGGGGCAGGGACAGAGATTTGAGGCCGTCTCCCAACCCCCACCCCCAAAATGAATTCAGTGGGCGTGTGTGTGCGCGCGCCAAATTCGGACTCAACCCTGCGGGAGAGGAATTCTCTGGAGTTCTGGAGAACCAGGATATTTGAGGGACTTCTGGGGAGGATACCGGGGCGAGGGGGCGGCGTGGGGGACCTGGTGCCCGAGGTGAACCCCGAAGATGATGCACTGACCTGCTCCTGTGTCTCCCGGCTAGGAAGGCAGGGTGGAGTAACTGGATTCCCGCCCCTGCCCTGCCCAACTCCTAGACCCCATTGTGTCCAGGTCCCGCCTCCTGGCAACCAGACTGCACCACCACCCTGGCCCTGCCCTCCACCCGCCCCCTCCCCGCCCTGCCTCCCCTCCTTGGAGTCCGCACTGGCAGACATCCTGCAGGCTAGGCCATGGACCAGAACTCCGTCCTCACCGTTTCACGGGCTTCACTAGACCCATTCCAGAAATGGACAGATCTGCAGAAAGAAGCTAGTGGGAGAATAAAGAAATCAAGCTCAGTTTAATTATTATGTGTAGAGAGAGAACTTTGCATGTATTTAAGCCCATGGAATAGTTGCAGAAAATAACCATGTACCAGGCCACAAAAAAGCCCATTCAGGTTGAATAAAGAGCTGTCTATAATAGGACACATTATCTGATCACAATCCAAAACAATTCTAAGCAAACAGTAAAATATTTTTTAAAAAGTTAATTACTTGGAAATTAACAGATTCTCTTTGAAAATGCCCTGGATCAAAGAGAAACTCAAATGTGAAGTTACAAATTATACATAGAACTGCAAAGGCAGATCCCTTCACACCCAGCTTTAGAAGACATAGCTAAAGCTGTGTTCAGAGGAAAACATATAGCCATAAGTGACTTCATTATTAATGAAGAAAAATTTTAAATAAAGACACTTAGCATTTATCTTACAAACATTAGAAAAAAGAACAGTCAAGTAACCTAAAAGAATGGATCTATTCTGCCAACTTGGCCACTTGCCTACCTCCCCGTGGAAAAGAAGGGCCAGGAGGACTGCCCAGTGATCTGGTGGGAATTCCTAGCCTGTGACCAGAGCTCTCAGCCAGTGCGCCTATGGAGTGAGAACCAAGACCAGGGTTGCTGGGAGCCCCTGTGGTCTGGAGCCTCCAAGGGGTCTCCTAGGGTTGAAAGGGAGAAGCCGGCAAGGGTGCCTTGGTAGAGAGTCTTAAAACAATACTCAAAGTGTTCCAAAGTTGACCTGCTTTTTAGCATCCTCATGAGCCCAGCAGCTCTAAAGAACGTTAGACATAAAATATTCCTCCCTTCAAATCTTTATTGTTTTAAACAATATTGTGGTCACTACTGAGTTTTAGTAGCATATGCGTACGTTTCCAATTAGCAACTTGTATTATCCTTTCCCCTTTAGTGAACATATTGTGTATAGAAATTAATTTAGAGGACTTCAGCTTGATGGTTGGCAGACAAGCTTTCCTTGGGAGGGTAACTGTGTCATGCTTGGGTATCACGAGTGGTCTTCAGAGCTCAGGCCTGGGCAGTTAAGGTCTCCTCTCCCTGTTACAACACATATTTCTCCCTTTAAGTAGTAGATTTGAGATGAAAAATGATACCAGAGCAATTGTTACAGGAAGAAACAGAACTTGAGTTCTCTTTACTCTTTTTTTTCTACCTGACCACTGAGAGTCTTTGCGTCTAACATCTAAAATAGTGAAGTAGGGCAAACTGCAAAGTAATTGTTTTGTTGAAAGGTTTGTTGGTGCAAACTTTATTTCATGTGTGAATTATTTGACTGAATTTGAATATTTTTAAGATTGAAAATTATTATTTAGAAGCCACAAATTTAATGGCTAGTAAGAAGTAAAAAATAAGTCAATAAAGTAATCATTATTGCTGCTTATTCCACGATTATTACTGAAAATCATACTGCTCTATAGCAGAGCGGGTGCTAACAAAGGATCTACTCAGGGGCCAGATTCATCAGGTCGGTGCAAACATTTCGTCTTTCGGCATATTTTGCTTAATTGCCTGCCTCAAAAGTGCATTCTCTTAGAATGCTGGCCAGTGAGGGAAGGAACTGTCTCCTTTGTTCACTGTCATGTCCCATGAGGTGACAAACATTTTATGAATAAGTAAATGAATTTACACTTTCTCCAATGGATTATGAATGTTTCTATTTCTGAAACCCTAGCCAGTGAAAGTTAAGTTCAACCTTTTATATAATGGTAGCCAAGTAGGATTTATAAAGCCTGTGTTATACGGCAGGCATTATTCTGAATACTGATTTACCAAAATTATTTTGTTTAATCTTCACACCAAAGCTCTGAGTCAAGTGCTATTATTTATTCCAGTTTTGCAGGCAAAGAAACTGAGGCACGAAGGGCTACATGTTTAGAAAGTGGTGGGACTGAAATTCGGACTTGGACTGTGGCTCCCACCACAGAATCTCTAACCCTTGGCCCTTCTGGGATGAAAAGAGATTATTGTTCTGCTGAGATTTCATTTCAGTGGTTTTAGAAGAACAGATTGTTTCATATATTTATTCGCCACATGTATTACGGTGAACTGCCCGTTCGTGTGTTTTGGCCAATTTTTCTGTTGGCTTTGTGGTATTTTCTTATTGATTTGTAAGATATTTTTATGTTACATATGTTAACTTTTTGGGGGATCATATGTTTTCTGGATTTGTTATTTTCCTTTCTATTTTGTTATTGGTAATCTTTTGCTTGTCAAAAGAATTCCATCTTTATAAGGTCTAGTATGTTTAAACTATATTGATTTCCGATAGAGTAAGTACCTTTTCTTTTGCCCTCCTTCCTCAAAATTTCTTGGTTAATTGTATGCATTTTTTTCTAGGTGAACTTCTGAATCATTTGAAATTGACTGGGATTGCACTGATTGTATAGATTAATTGGGGCAATGACTGGCTGGTTTATAGTTTTGAGTTTACCAATTTAGGAACAGGTTGTATTTTTTCTAGGTCCAAGTTGGAGCTGTTGTGACTTGGACTAAAACAGTGATGGTGAAGACAGAGAAGGAGGTGGCTGGAGATATGTTTCAGAGGTAGAACTGAGCTGCTCTGGTGACATGTTGGACATCAGAGAGAAGGGCAGGTAGGAGTCACCTCTTGTTTTTTGGCTTGGTCACTGTGTGCCTGTTACCAATTCATGTTCTCATGTGACAGCTGCTCTTATGCACCAGCTCTGACCTGCAGCCTCTTTCCTCACCAGCAGCTGCACATTTTTTGTGGAAGCCTTGCCCCTCCAAGGAGCTGTAAGCCTCACTGTGCAGCAGGGAGCAGGGCTCTTCCAGATTCCCCAGCCCTTCAGCCCTTCAGCCCTTCAGCCCCACAGGTAGTACCAACTGCCGGCACTGGATGCTTCTGTAACCCTTGGAGTCTCTCTTACCTACTTAGTAGGTAACCTCCTTTTACTTGTTAACAATTCCATATATATATGTATGTGTATATATATATATATATATATATTTTTTTTTTTTCCTTTTCACATTGCCAATGTTGTTTTTTATCTTCTGCCTGGAGCCTGATTCATGGATGTGGACGGAGATGTCATTTTCTGAGGTGAGGATGACAGGGCCAGGCTGTTTTGGTGGGTGTGTCAGTCAGGGCTCAGTGCAGAAAACAGAAACAACTCTTATGTTTTTAAGACAGAAATGGATTTATACCATGGGATATTATAAAATTATTGGATGGGCTGATGGTGTAGGGACTGAGAGGGATGGTGAGGGGCCACTGAGCTGAAGAAGAGACTGGGTAGCTGCGACGTGAGGCCAGGAACCCGGGGTGGTGACACTTAGCTCCTGCTGCCTGCACTGCACCCTCTCTTAGCAGCTGTCTCCACGCCTCATTTGCCTGCAGACTCGGCACAGACATGCTGTCTTCTCGACCTCACAAGGCTGTGCCTAATTCAGCAACTCCACTCAGAAGTTCAGCTTCAAGTGAGAATGAAAAACTTAGTTTTTAGGTTCTAAAGTACAGAATGGGG